TTCCATAGAAGTGGTGTTTATCTACAAAGATAGCTCTTTAGAGTTGTTAAAATAATATACGGACATTTAGAAATAAATTCTATTAATTCAAGTATCATCACTGTGGCTCAGCCTGGAAATTTTTAGCCCACATGAGTAACTTTTCTCATGAGAAGTCAGTGGGGTGACTCATGCAAAACAAGTTATATGGCAAGCATGAGCAGAATCAGAGTCTGTGGGCATTTTAGGGGCATATTGTTGCCTCAGTAGAATATTTACACATACAGGAAGAAAAATCTAGGTAGTATTCAAACTACTGCTGTAAACTCTTCCTATCTGGACATCTTTTGCATGTTCAGCATAGCTTTAGAATGAGCATATCTAGTATCTCAACTACTAGATTAGAAATATTTATTAGAAAAATTAATGATTAAGAGCAATGCTCCCATCAGCAGACAGACTTTTTTCCAATTGAAGTTAACTGCTCTGCTACATAAACAAACAATGACTATGTTTAGCGCTCATAACTTAACTACATTGTTTCTCTGGGGTACAAAGAATTAAGGAAGGTTTAGACTTTAAGATGCTCATAGTATAATTGGGTCGGGTCTATAGCAGCTGTCTTCCAACTAGATTTTATACTTCCTTCCAGGTGACAACAGCTTGTAAAAACATGAGGATATTTCTAGCAGTGGCTGCAAGACCACAGGGGAAGGTGACGGGGGAGGAGATAAAAACAAATGACTGTACTTCAGCTCTTTTTTTGCCTTCAGTCCAAGTCTTTGCCTTCAGAAAATAGATTTTCAGGTCTATCTTCATCTTGTTTTCTTACGAGACCTGTTCAACTATTTTAAACATCACATCTCACATGACAGCTTTATAAAGCTAGAGAAAGCAACAAGCACTTCACGTATACATAAAGGAACGAAAAGATGTTTAAATGACAAGGTTTTGCTTCCCAGAATAGGCAGCAGTCTCAAGAAATTAAGTGTTCTGGAAATTCTCCATACTGTGGCCCTTCCTACTTCCCAGCAACAAAATGCAGAGGAATCCACTACGGATACATGGCTGTGGTCTGTGTAAGAGATGTTCAGAGACCGTAAGAGGCCAGGTCCTGATCCTTTCTTTAGGGGAGCTGCAATCCAGTAAACAGCCATACGCTCTAAGTAGCGCCATCCAAAAAAGGACCCTACACACATGAATATGGGCTCATAACACAAGTTACTGGTCAATATAAAAGTCTGGCAAATGTTAATAGAAGATTGACAAAAATGTAATTACTCTAGAAATTTCAACACTACTTCAGGACGCACACAAAGGTACAAGCTGAAAAATAGGCTGTTCATGCTGAAGTTCAAATAGTTGTTTCAACAGACACTGAGAACATCTACACACCACAATAGCACATGCGATTCAGCCATTCAAGGTTGAGCCTCAGAAGAAAGCTATATTCACAAACTTACCAATTCAGAGCCCAGGCAGTGCTGTACCAAATTGGAGTAGAGCTAAACTGAGCCTTCAGACAATACCACCAGAGATTATAACTAAGTGATGCACAGCTGTGTATGCACATTTGTTTCACTGAAGACTTTTTAGAGAATTATCCAGCTAAATGACTTACAACAAAGTCATATTTGTCTTCACTAGGGTCTCTCCACAAACTAAGACTTCCACATACCTAAACTCTAACTGGTTAAGTCTCTAGTTTCCATCTTGTTCCCTCCCCCAGTTCTTATGCAATAGACTCTGCTGCATGATCACCTATTGCTAACCGAAGATTTTTACTTTAAAGTGTCAGCAGGGCTGCTGTAGGAATAAACACTACTGTAACAAGTGTTTATTTTGGTTTTGGTTTCCATTACATTTCTACAATTACACTGATGTGACACAAGTTCTTGTCATGGGGCACATTAGGTCTAAGTAGCTTTGTGAACATGCTACTATGTCTATCTAACGTACTACAGATTTGTTGTTGCTTAATTAAACTGCAGGATAAACATTTCTAACCACCTCAGAAAAATGCACATAGCTTTAATCAATTCATATCTTAAGTAGCTTTCTTAGGAAGAAAAGGTTGAGTTTCCTTAGATTTTTTCAGTGCTTCAGATCTTCAGTTTTCACTTCATTCAGAGGGAGCTGAGGCTATTCAGCATTTTGCATGATCTGATCTGCAAATCAGTATTCAAATAAAATTACTGACCAACCAAGCAGCTACTTGGAAGTCAGAGTAATTGGCGTAAAAAGAAATGTTATAACTGAACTTCCAGTTCAAAAAAAAGGCTACCTACAGAGATTTATATTCTTTTTTCAGAAGGAAACTGTTGTGAAAGTCTACTCTTCTATTTTGAAGGACAACCGAACCACAGGCAATGTATTTGAAAAGTTTGGTCTGTATACCTGTCACAAGATATTCTAATACAAACAATTTTATAAACCAGTTCAATTCATGTAAGCAGCAGTGAAGACTCTCACACTTTCCACTGGCATGCTAAATCAGCTGCATCAGGTATTCTTTGACAGTAGCTTGATTCGCTCTATGAAGTGTGATATCCTATACTTAAAGCTTGTTTCTTTTTTTTTAAAAAAAGAAGTGCTTGATATTTAGTGTGTAAAAATAAAGTGCTTGAAGGAAGCCTCCACAAGTTTCCTGAGAAATCGTTTTGAATTTCAGAATCCCAAGGAGATGAATTGGCTGTCAGATAACAATGCGCCTTCATCAGATGGACTTGGCAGTTGTAAACAAGAGGAATTTTCTCAGCTTTTCCTCACAAATATGAAATATTTGCTCTTAGCCAACAGCTGGGGCGGTTTAAAGACATCCTGCATCTATATTCAAATTACAAGTCACCCACACACCTAATGCTGACTAAATTTCTGCAAATTAAAAAAAAACACCTCTAGTGATTACTGGAGCAGACAAAATAATTCTACGGACAAAGCAGAATCTAACTTTGTAGGTCTTTAAAACTGATTAAACTTCCAAATGTCTTGGTTTGCTTACTGAAGAAAAAAAATAAACTCACAACAGTAGCCTCAGTTACTGGAATTCTCATCAGAACTAGTATCCTACTAAATTGCAAACATTTACTTTTACCTCCAAAGATTTTAAAGATTTAGCAAGAGAGAAAAAGCTTAAAAAAAGCCACAAAATCATAAGAGTAAGATGTAAGTACTTCTCATTTTCAGTTCAGACAAGCACATTTTAACCACTTAAGTTCAATTTTGTTAATACTACAACTCTGTATTGCACTTCACAAGTCTTGTATCATAATTTCAAGACATTTAACCCTGAGTTAAAATATTGTTAATAAATCAGGTACAGGATCTTGCTTCAGGATAATCAAGAAACAAAGCTGATTATGTATTGTTTTAAATTTAGCAACTATTTTATATTTCAGTGGCTAATCACATTCACAATTAAAGCATGGATGTCTATGTTTCATATATGTGCACTTACTCCTGCAATATGAACTACACTGCTGTTTAATTTTCTAGGTAAACCCTATAAACCAAAATTAAGAATGTGTATATATTACTCCAATATACCCCTCAGCAGGGGAAGTTGTACTAAATTTCTACACTTTGTAGAAAATTTAAAGCACGTTGTAAAAAACACTGCATTAAGCTTGTTTTAACATGTCTTTGAAGAAATTCTGACTATGCATTTCTGAGAGTAGTCTCATTTAAAATTATTCAAAAAATGCTTTACTATGTGATGACATTCAATTTTTAGGTCAAAAATTACACGGTGGGGCAGGGGGGAGAAAGGAGGTAATTCTCAAGTAGGTGATATTTCAATCATTATGGAAACATCATAGTTGCACTAGTGGTTACTAAGTTTCTTTAGTAGCTTTATATTTATCTTCACATGCAACTATTTCCAATGTGTGTGTGTTTTTTTTTTTTAAAAGATACAGCAATTGTGGATACAGAACACACATATGTTAATAAAGACAAAGATGAGAGCAATGCTGATTTCCAGTGGAGTAAGGTAGAAAAAAAGGAAGTTAAGGATAAAGCATTTTCTCAGTGAATGAGAAAATAAACAAGACCTTGGAGGCATGCGTAAAGAAAAGGTGATATAATGAAAATGCAACAACTAAGATGCCTGAAAATGAAGATATGACTCTGCAGTTTTATATGAACAGACATTAATAGAGGGGGTTTCTTAGACTTTTCCAAAATGAAACTATGTCCAGCTACCATCATCTAGCCTTTAATACATCAGGCTTAGTACGAGTTGTACAATACATTTCAGAAAAATTCAATGTGCAGCAAACTAAAAATGCACTGAAAATTAAGTAACTAGTATAAAAAGCTATATAGCTTCAGGAATTATTTTTTTCTAATTATATGTCCTACTGCAGCCAAGCAGGTGTTTACACTTCAACTTCTCCAGACAAGATGTTCTCTTTCCCACTTCATTCACTTCCCCCACAGAAGTCAATCTTTTTTTAATGGCCAAATCCCATTTATTTTTGAAAGTTAACAGTCAATAGTTTTTTCTAAGGCTTCATAAAAGCTTTGGTCAACTACTTTCATGTAAAAACTGGTGTAGAATTGAACTACTGTTTCCATACTGCACATACCAAGAAGATACTTTACAACTAGCAGTTACTTTTAGTAAGACTTTATAGGAAACACCAAGATCTCCAAGATTAATATATCCCACTGTACCTAAGAAAACAGGCTTTTGTAGGTTTATTCTTTTTCGAAAAAGTCCTTGTGTATTCAGGGGAATACACTGCATAGCATTCAAGCAATTTGCAATTTCCTATAAGAAAAGTGCCATTTACATTTCAAATCTGGACTGCTAATCAGATATTCCCCCCCCACACACACTCTCCCATATACCCTGTCTGAGAATTTCTTACTGCTCATGTTCCTCAATAAGGATAAACATTCAAGTTAAAAAAAATACTAAACCAAAAAAACCCACAGAAACAGAGGTTTGAGTGCCTTAACACACAACTTATTGACAACAAATTTTCCTCATGCAGTTTAAAATTAAAAGCACTTACAGCCTCTCCAGTTCTTTTAAATCCTGGAATGCTCCTCTTTCAATAGTACTGATCTTGTTCTCCATGAGCTGACTAAAACAAAAATTGTTATACAAAAGTTGTAACAGATTATCACTTGTTGCATTAACACCAGTCATTTAAACACAAAGAAGTTTTCATTAAAACACTACAACTGTTACTCTAGAATAACATCCAAGTTAACATTCTGGACCCTTGTTATACAACACTTAACATGGGCTCATATACCCCAAAGGAGGAAGAAAGCCTCTTTAAAACAAACAGGAGCAGATATTGCATTTATGTAGTTAGTTTAAGAGTCACAGATCAAAAAATAACATTTATGCATGCACACACGCACACGTATCACTGCCCTTCGGCAAGTTATAAGACTCTGGTTGAGCAATATGAAGGCAAAATTAGTCTCACATGAGAAAAACAGAACAAAACCTAACTGTGATGTTGATGAAAAAAGCATCAATGAAATATTGTAGGGAGACAGTAAACACGACAATAATTTTATTTCACTTAGAGAAAAAACTGCAATATAATATTCTGATTAACAGATAAATGGAAAGGGTTTTTTTTATAATTACTCACTCAAATAAGATAACTTTGAAAAAGCCAAGAAAATTCTGCAGTATTTTAAACTCAGTATTTATTAGATTTTTTTTCTCCTAAAAATTGAGTATTTTAAAAGCTCCATACTGCTGAAAACAAAGTGACTTACAGAAATAACCCAGAAATAACCCCGGTCTTTTTTACCCAGAAACTGTAAAACGTGAACTGTAACTTACTAACCCTAAACTGAAGCAATCCCAACAGTTATTAAACCAATTTTAACAACTCTTATTTGTAAGCTACATGCCAATTTTAAACCACAATTTACTTTGCAGCCTTAAAGGGATATTAAAAAAAAAATATATATATACACACACAAGATGGCTTGTATAACATTTCCTAACTTTCTAATATATCTACAGTGTGGGGGAGGGGCAATGAGTTCAGATACAGTAGCATGATAATTAGAAAGTGATAACCTTTACAACTTATTAGCTGAAAGATAACTACTTCAACAGTTTTCATAACAGGCTGTAACGCTAGCCCTAAAAGGTATCAGTGATAGAAAGAAAACTTACAGAACTCGAAGGTGCCTCAGACCAGCAAAGTCGGTCTTGGTGATTCTTGTGATGTTATTTCCATTAAGATCCCTAGGAAGAATAATTTATAAGCAGCAGAATTAAACATTTAGAACTTATTTTACTTTTGTTTTATTTGTTTTCCTGGGCTCAGCATTTTCGAAAGTTACGAGAACTTAATGAACCCCATGATCCATAGCCAAGATTAACTCTATGTGAGTTCCAGATTTTCAAGTGACTAAATGAAGATTTAGCTTGAAAGCAATATTTTAAAACCTTGTAATAAGAGACCCGCAGAGTCTGTTTTGCCTGCTGTTATGTAGCTCACGTTTATGTCTAACACTACAGAAGCCCCCAAACTTGTCTAAATGTTGGTTATAACTGCAGTTAGAAAACCACTGGTTACAACGTATTTGTGACAGTGTCTGTTAGGTTTACCGATAAGAGTTATAAAAACTAAACAATCAACTGAAATCAAGACCGTTTTCTGCATTTTATAGAAATACCAAGAAAACTGAAAGATATTTAAAAGTAGAATATTGCTTAACTTCCTATAGCAAACATTAGTCTTCATAAAATCATGTTTACCCTCCAACAATCTTATTCTTATTTGAAAGCTACACTCTTCACTTGCAGCACAGGAAGCCATCCCGACTGCAGAAAGCAAAATGTGTTCAGAAAGCAGAAAATTGTATTTAGGCCCTAATATTTCTGTTCATATTTCAGCACTATTTTATTTTCTGGATTTATTTGTCCCTTTGTTATTTCATTTTAGGTCAACATATAAGCCTGTCTCATTTGCAACCACTACAAATAAAATCAGACTTTGCAATTCTTGAGGTAAGCCTTTGGGAAACAGTATTGGATTGGAAACTACCCTAACAATTACAGGTCATTTCTAATGTAGTTAGAAAAAAAAATGTCAATTTTTTTGGTGTTTTCACCACATGTGGCAGGAACACCACTGTAAAGAAACCACAAAAGTTTCAGCAGAAATCAGTGTCCTACACTCTTCGTTTGAGTGAAATCACTTTAGACAAGTGTTCATACTCAAACATTTACACGGCTCAAAATGAAAAGCTGTAAGAAATCATATATCCATGCTTCCTCTCCGCAGACCCTCCTGAGAGCCAGCTCGATATTAAAGATATCTGACCACACGCTCACCCGCTCTCAAGAGCGGAATATACCCTAGTCGCAGGATGCATGGATGGTCTCAAAAAGCCGATTATGGGGTGAGGGCTGATGGGGAGGGGGGGGAATTCCAGTTAGGGGCACAACTTGGTGCTGGGAGTGGGAAAGAGGCTCAAGCGCCGCGGCGCGCCCTGCCCTCGCGGCGGGCGGGCGGGCGCTTGCGCCGGGGCAGAGCCCTGCAGGGCTGCGCCTGCAGCCGCGGGCAGCGCAGCG